TTTAGAATAACTTTGTCATTTGATAGGAAATCCAACCACAGACATCATAATACAATGACTGATCAGTCCCCTTGGAGGAAGGGCGATCCAGCAACCAGCTCCCAGCTGAGTCAGAAGCAGCCTGGGCTCAAGTTCTACCCCACTCTCTCTCAAAAAGTTGAATAAACGCAGGAAATTAATATTAAAATTTGACAAGCCTGTGTCACCTGTCTCTTCCATTATGTGTCACGAGGGACTTGAGGGATTAAAAGTCCTCCACGAGGAGGACAATTACAAGAATACTTTGAAAACGCTCTGCAGACTCAGAGCTCACGTACTTGGGTGAGGACTCATCCTGTAAACACGCATCAGCTGTCTCGAAACGGCTTTATTTTTATCCTGCTGTCTGCCAGGTAGCACATGCAAACACTTTGTTTGCTAATGCACTCTCCATGTTTCCTGCTTCTCCTATCACCTGCAGGCAGGCAAACTTGCTTGGGGAGAAAGTGTTTTGCTTCTTCACTTGCACAGACCGCGCCAGTTATTGCGGGGACACCATTCACACCACTCCACTCAGCTACTCACGGAGAGTGACTTGGTTTTCCTGTACCTGAGGGTGTTCTTCCAGCCCGAACCTATCCATGCAGGACCTGCAGAGTTTACTCAACCTGGTGCTTTCAACTCCAAGCTAGGGTGGAAAATCATTAAAGATTCCGAATGTTCAAGGAGAGAAAAGAAGAAATGCCATGCACACACAATCTGCACCTTAGGCTCCTCCTCCAGCTCTGCTCTGAAGGCATTTGGGCTGCAAATCTCTCTTTACCACTGAAGTTTTTAGTATGTGCTTCTTAGCTGCTTTCCACAAAGATTTGGAGGAGCTGTTGATATGCAGGAGGGCAGGACCACCATCCAAAAGGAGCTCAGCTCGCTGGAGAAATGGATCTAACTGCTCCTGCCAGCACTGGTTCCTGTATCAAACATCTCTCCTTGCACCCCATTTACCACTGCATCCACTGGCACCTTTATTTATAACAAGTTTTCCCACACCAACCTCACCCACCGTGAACTTGCCACAAAAAAAAAAAAATTATTCTGTTCTATAAATAGGAAAACAGGCCACGAGGGGAAATGATTTGCCCAGATCAGATATCAAAACCAGAACAATTCATACAACCCCAGCTCAGCTTCCCAATTTAACCATAACATGTATTACCTACCACTTCTTCAGGCAATTCTCCCAGGTGTGTAAAGCAGCATAAAAGTACTGGTACTCAACAGAAGGAGAAGCTTTGAAACAGAACTAGAGCAAGCCTGTCCTAGCAGGATAATGATGGCCTGATGTTCATTTCTGCACTTTCAAAGGGAACTGTGAATGTTATTCCAGCTTTATTCCTCAATCCACTTTTTTAAGCTACAAGGAGACCCCCCTCAGGAATCAATTTTATCCTCGAGATTCCAATTAGAATATTACCAAGCCTTCTTTTCAGTAAGTTCTGACAAAACAAGTGAAAGATAACAACTTTGCAGCAGGCTACATCCAAGGCAGTGTCAATAGCCCACCTAACCCTTACCTAGGGATGCTCAGGAAAGATAAAAAAAGGATACCAAGGTACAAAGCCAGCTTTCCTTCATTCCTCACCCTAGCCATTACTCCAAGCAGTTCAAAAAAGTACAGAAGCAGATACAAGAGATAATCAGCGCAGTGATGTCAGCAGCACCTGAATAACCTATTGTGGGAGGCCTCTCCTACTGATCTTCTAATGGGCTCTTCAAACAGACCTCACACTCCAGGAACAGGAGCCCGGGCGAAGAGGGTCCCAGTCAGAAAGCAATTCCATTAGCTGGATGTGAGATCACTTGTTTTTTCCCAAGAACATGGAGCTACTTCTCAGGTCAGCGTGCACCGTGGCTTTTATTCCTCCTTCAATACAGCTTTGTCCTCTCTGACCAGGTTTTGAGGGCAGGCCTTTCAAAAAAGCAGGACTCAGCACTGAGACTCTGCAAACCCAGGGCACTGCTGCTGCCTGAGCTGGTGCAGTTTGAAGACACCTTCCTCCTTCCCCCCCTGGAACTTGTCTGAGCTGCACAGCTCAAGCTGTCAGCTCTGGGCACTGGAGTCCATAGGATTCTTTCAACGTTTCCTCTGCCATTTCACATCCTCGAACTGCAGATGACAAAAGCAGACGCTCCCATGAAAGCTCTGCTTCTGCATCTGTCCAAGACAGACACCTTCTGCAATGCACTCAAGTATTCTGCCCACTCCTGCTCCAAAGAAACCAGGACTTATGGCTCCTCTCCTTACCATTAGTCCGACAAACTTACCAACAACAGCCTCATTCCCAACATCTTCCCACTTCTTCCAGCGCAACACATCCAAAAAAAAGAGGGCAATTTTCTGTGAACACCAGAAATTAGGAAGCATTTGAAAGCCCAGGAGACAGCTTTTAGGAATGCTGGCAATGCTGTGGGAAACACACTAAGAGACACCTCTAAATCTCTGGCTCACTTTGTTTTCTCCTGGAATTTATTCACCAAAACCAGCAGCCTTTTTACTGCATCTCCTGCCAATACCTGGCTGCGCCAGCAATTTAGGGGCACAGGCTTAATTACACTGGTAAATGAAAGCATCCATTTTCCCTGGCTCTGGAGGAACAGAAAGCATCCCGGCAGCAGACACAGGCTGACACATATTTGCTTTCCAAGCAGTAAAACACTGACAGCTTTCCCAAACAACCACTCACGTTCACACATAGTATCTGTAATATCCCCCTGAAGAGTGTAATTTGTGGTGGGATAACAAGTGACACGCCTCAGGCTTGTGCACTGGCACTTTCAAAACACACAGCATCAAGATGATATTTAGAAGTATTTAACCTCAAATTGTTTCTTCTGAAGAGAGAGAAGCACCTTCAGGGCCCACCATTATTTACAGGAAATTCAAACTGCCCGTCTTCCCATGGGACCAGCTCAAGTTTGTCCACCCTGACCATCAGACAATTTATCCTGTGATCCCTCACTGCTTCCTCAGCTTTGTTTCTAACCTCAGCAACTCAGCATCATCAGCATCATTTACTGGGTGTCAAATGAGTATCCCACCTCTTGCTTCTAAGATTCTAAGACTCCAGGACTACCCCCTTTCACAAGAACAGGCAGAACCTGTCTTAGGCAACGTGCTAAGCTTAACTAAAAAAAACTGCCAAAAAGTAAAAATAGCGAGTGACAAAGTTGAGTGAGTCATAAAACTCGGTGTCACTACACACCAGCTCAGGCACTGAGGAGTGGAGACATTACACCAATTTGTGCAGACACCATGACGTCCCCAAATCAGCTCAGGAAACCTCGTGGAGTCACAGAGGGCCACTCTCTGCAGAGATCTGGCAGATCCACCAGCACTGGTTACAAGGTGACCAACCAGGACTTCGCTGCTCAGTGTTACCTGCAGATGTTACATGCAGCTGGTAATTCATCTATTTCTGCATCAGGACAACCCCACTGCATCCCTAAATTCCACAGCTGGTTAACAGAGCCTATTAACAGCAAATTAACGACCAAAGGCTGCCAAAGTCAGCTGAAACTGGAGTTCAAGGAAGCAGCTGATAGAACATTTTTGGCAGGAAACTAATCAAGTACAGCAGTTTCTGAAGGAAGTAACACACTTAGTCCAAAAGCTGCCAGATTTGGGGTTTATGACCCCTCCCTCTTGTGTCTCCACTGCGTACCAGGGGCTTTGAGGAGCGCTCATGGAAAGAATTAACAAGACCCACAAAGGTGTCAAATCTGGGCCCTCCTTGGTGGCCTCCTAAGATAATGCCAGGATTCCTCAGCTTCATTTAACTTGGATCTTCCAGCTATTAACACAAGCTGGCCTGACAGCTTTACAGTACAAAAGACTTCCTGACACCTTTGATAACCCTTCGGAGAGTGACTGATTTTTTTTTTTCTTTTTAAACAAAATCCTAAAGCAGCTTCATATGTTTAAAAACTTAATGTGGATTCCCTTCCATCCATCATTAAAATGCCAACATACCTGTCACGCTTAAAAACGCAGGATCATTAATTTATTCTGGGGTTTTGACAGTTATTTTACTGTCGCTTCAGAATCATAAATTTAGCCACTCGTTAAGACTCTCCCAAGTGGGATTCATCCCAAAGTCATGGTGCTCAGGAATCTAAACACTCTCCTGCTTATTAAAGAAAGAAGTTACAAAAGCTTCATTTTTTAGTATTTTTAATACAGTGAGGGATACAAGCAGAGAGGAAACTTGCAAATTTGGATCCCCCCCCACACTTTCTACAGGTGTGATTCCTAGTGATGTTATGCTACACGTGGTAATGGTGCTGGTGAAGGAGCTGGCTGGTCACTGAGCTCTCCCACCACCATCAGGAGGAAGTTCTCTGGAGTGATGGGACTCCAGGAGGGCAGGGGCACTCGTCTTCTGCCTAAAAATTATCTCCCAAGGGTCCTCTTCTCATAGTTATCTATAAAAGCTATCCTTCAGCCCTTCATTTATCACACACCAAGCTCAGAAGACAATGCAGACCCATTTCTGAAATGCTCATGTCCCCAGACTGAGGAACCAGGTGCCCCCTTGCCTGCCAGAACCCTGCCTATCAGCAAAGCTGTTTTTCATGCTCCACTTGGATCTGCACCAGAAATCAGGCTGGGTATGCACATGCCACATTCCGAACACCCTGGCACAAAGTTTCTACTGCAAAGCCTCACAGGGCAGCTTGCCACAGCCAAGGTTCCCCCAGCCAGACACCCACAAGCATCTCCATTCTGTTCTGCAGGAAGAGTCTCCTCTTTCTTAACACCCAGATTTTTAAAGGAGCTCACTGTGCTGCACTGGGAGAGCTTTGGGAGAGCAGACAGAGAATGGGGAAGCATTTTAAAAAGCCAAAATCACAGAGTTTGTTAACCTGGGTAACGCCACCACCCTGCACGTGACAAAACAGCCTCTTGCCATCGCAGAGACCCACCCAGGGAGAGCTTCTTGAGGCTTCCCCTCGGCGCAACTCACCTCGCCCGAGTAGCTGTACTTCCCCTTCAGGATCTGCCGGTACAGGCGGGTGCGGTTGTCGTCCTCGAAGGGCATCGTCCCGCTGAGCAGGATGTAGGAGATCACGCCCAGCGCCCACATGTCCACCGAGTTCGTGTAGGGCTTCCTGACCAGGATCTCGGGGGCGATGTACTCCGGGGTGCCGCAGGTGGTCTTCATCAGGCAGTCATCCCCTTTCTTCCGAGCGCTGGCCAGCCCGAAGTCCGTGATCATGATCTTGGAGTCCGTGCCCGGGTGGTAGTACAGCAGGTTCTCCGGCTTCAGGTCCCGGTGGGTGATGCCCAGCGTGTGCAGGTACCGGACGCCGTCCAGCACCATCTGCAGCACGCGCGTGGCGTCCCTCTCGGTGAAGGAGCCCTTGGCGATGATCCTGTCGAACAGCTCGCCGCCCGTCGCCAGCTCCATCACCATGTACACGCGGTCCTGGGTCTCGAACACCTCGATGAGCTGGATGATGTTGGTGTGCCGCACCCGGCGCAGGACGCTGAGCTCCGACTCGCACACCTCCCGGCCCTCCCGGTACTTGGTCTCGATCATCTTGATGGCGTAGGGCTGCTTGGTGGCCTTGTGCTCCACCCGCACCACGCGGCTGAAGCTGCCCCTCCCGATCAGGGCCTTGATGTCGTACTTGGCCGTCACCCTGGGGTCGAACTTGGCGCGGTATTTGGCCACTTTGTTCTTGCGGGGCTCGGGCTGGTGGGCGGGCAGGGCGTGGCCGGGGTAGGGGTTGGCGGGGTGAGGGGGCGAGGGGGAGCCGGCCTTGATGACAGCCCCGCAGTCATCCCTGATGAAGTGCTTGTAGATGTCGCTGTGGCCCGTGTAGGGTTCCACTTTCTTGACCAGGTCCAGCTGCACGTCTTTGGGGGGCTCGGGAAGCACTTTGCTTGTCCCGCAGCCCATCCCTGACTGGTGTTAATTCCCTGTCAAGGCATGTTCCCAGGGGAGCACCAGCAGCAGCCACATCCGGGACAATTCCCACATCTGAACCTCAGGAGAAGAACGAGGAGAAACAAACAAATTGGAATCGAGGCAGTAAAGGTTCAAATGGGGAAAAAAAAAAAAAAAAAAAAAAAAAAAGTAGGCCATGTGCTACCACAAACTAAGAATTTGGGACTGACCAAGCACAGTGCTCTGCTGCTTCCATCACAAGCCAGTGAAGATGGGGCCTACAAACACAGCCGTGGTCAGAACCATGGATGTGTCCATGGAAATCACACAGTATCCCTTTTTATTAACCACAGTTCTTGTTCTGCTCCCAGCTGAGCACTGAGTCAGAGTCACAGAGTGGTTGAGACTTCTGGAGGTCTTTTTGTCCTTAACTGCTTAATAAAAATCAAATTAAGGAAAGAGTCAAGCATTTTCCTGTTTTGTTTCAGCTGCTCGACTTCACACAACAGCAGCCACTTCAAACCTCAGAGTTCTGAAATGCCTCACCAGCAGCTCCACAAAGCACCTCAGCAACTTGTTCACTTAACAAATCTGCCTAAAACTTTCTTTAGATTGAACTTTTACAGGTGTCCGAAACCTCTCCCTGCTTTGCTCCTGGGGATCAGCGGAATGGCACAGGAAGGGAATATGAAGCCAGAGGCTCCATCCAAGGTGGGCTTTAAATCTTCCAACAGCCTGACTCAGTTTTTGCTTTATTTGACATCTCCAGGCACCAAGTGGCACTTCTGGCTTTCCGCGTGGAGCTGTGTGCAGTGAGTGGAATTCCCACCAGCTCTTCCAGACTAGGAGCTCTTGCTCATCACGCTGTATTTCAAATCAGGTGCACCTGGGCAGGTCTTTCTGTGCTGATTAAAGCCCTATCGCTGGCCAGGAGGTGGGGAAAGTGCCTGTGGCTCTGGCAGTTTTCCACTTGCACCGTTTGGCTCAGAGCCCATCAGTGGGTGCCTGAGCCTTTGCAGGAGGCTACAGAAAAACGATTTCAGCTTTGAAATGTGATCTCAGGTTCTTACCATCACCGGGTGAATCCCCACTCAGGCACCACCTCTCCACCCAGCTCCTCAGCATGAACGGCAGAAAAGGAAGCCTGGCTGCTTTTCCATCGTGAGAATCAGGTGGAGAAATAAGAAATGTTTTAAAGGGACGCCCCGAAGGAGTTTAGAACTCTGCATCCAACCTGGAAAGAAAACCAGGCTTTAGTTAAGATTTGGTTTTAAAATCAAAAACATCCCCAAAGGAACTTCTCAGGGGAGCCCTGCTGGCAGCACCCTGAGGTCAAACACACCAGCCACGCACCCTACCTGTGGTGGGGCACAACTCCACATCAGTGCAGGTGGAAATACTCTGTATAACAATCACCACGAGTCTGGGGAAAGGAATTACAGAAATGGGGTGTTACAAGCCCACTCCAAGGGGTGTCAGTCACCTGCCCAGATCCCCCAAGGCCAAGCAGACCTTCCACCCCCAAGTAAATACATCACAACTTGAAGCTCTTTAACACTGCTGTTCTATGAGATGCCAGTTTGGAGATGTGAACAGAGCAGCTCTGAACTGTGTTAATTCAGAGCTCAAACACAGGAACCTGCAAACCACACCTGTGCCAACACAGCAGCGCTGAGAGCACCTCACCTGAGAGCACAAACCTGGCACAGACCCAGCATTCCCAACGGGAGCTTCCCGCGGGTTCTGCAGGGCACACCCGGGGCTGGGGCCGCTGCAGCACCTCAGGCAGCTGTGCCAGAGCCAGGGGCGGACCAGGCTGGGCCAAACCAACCGCGACTCCCAGCACTCCTGACTGTTTTCACAACTCCTCCCGAGACTTCCACACCTCCCACTGTTTCCATCACTCATCCCGACCCGGGCCGTTTCTCGCCCATCCCGGACAGCAGACGCAGGGCCGGGCCAGGCCGGTGGCGGGAGCCTGTCCCGCGGCAGGCCCGGCTCCAGGCCCGGGAGGAGCTGGAGGGACTCACGGGGGGGCGGGCAGGGCTCGCACCCCGGCCCGCCCGTTCCCGCGGCCCAGCGCTCCGGGCAGCGGCAGCGTGAGGGCGCCGGGACCCACGGAGGGCTGGGGGATAAGGAGGGAGCGGTGCCGGAGCCGCCGCCGGCACCGCCGGGCCCGACTCACCGGAGCCCGCTCCGGACCGCGCCGCGGCGCCGCCTCCTGACGTCATCACCGCGCGCCGGGGGGGACAACCGAGGGGCGGGAGGGGCGGGGCCGAGGAGCGCGGGGAGGGGCCGCAATACCGCCCCCTGGCGGGGCCGCGGGGACCGGACCGGGGGGTCCCTCAGGGCTCCGGGACCCCCCAAACCCCATCCGGGACCCCCCAACCCCATCCGGGACCCCCCAACCCCACGGGCTTTGGGACCCCCTCAACCCCACCCGGGATCCCCCTCGGTGCCGTCTGGGAACCCTCAGGGCTCTGGGACCCCCCCAGCCTCACCTGGGTCCCCCAGCCCCACACGGGACCCCTCAGTGCCATCTGGGGCTCCTCAGGGCTCCGGGACCTCTCAGCTCCCTCAGGGACCCCGGGACCCCCTCCAGCCCCATCTGGGCCCCGCCTCGGTGCCATCGGGGAATCCTCAGGGCTCTGGGACCCCCAACCCCACATGGGACCCCTCAGTGCCATCTGGGATCCCTCAGCCCCATCTGGGTCTCCTCAAGGCTCTGGGACCCCTCAGCCCCATCTGGGACCCCTCAGCCCCATCTGGGTCTCCTCAAGGCTCTGGGACCCCTCAGCCCCGCGGGGCCCTTGGAACCCCTCAGCCTCGTGGACCCCCCTCACTCCCCAGGCCCTGCTGTCACCCACAAAACTGTGTTTGTTCCCCGATGTGCAACGAGCTGGTACTGACACACTCAAGAGAGACACTGCTAATTGATGTCAGAGCTCCCCACGTGCTCTGTGCTATTCCACAAATCCAGCACATCCCACTGGACTTGCCGTGTTGTTGTTCACACAGGAAGTTCAGAGTCGTTAAATTCCCAAGCACAGCCCCTCTATTGGGTTAATTAGTAATTCCCGTGCAAATCACATAACCCGGGTAACTTCTACTCACGCTCAGGGGAAGCGTCTTTATCTGGGCAGGGTCTTTCTGACCTGTAGGTGTGATTTTTAGTATTATCATGAAGATAGTTCAGGTCTAAGATATGTGGACCTGGAGTATTTTAGCCAAGTAGGCAATGCCTACGTAGGCATATGTCAACATCTTGATTTGCTACATCCTTAGTCCCTGATTTACTACATCCAGGATATCCTCGAGTAAAGGACGCTGGCTGCTGCCACTTCCACTGATTAGGTCTCCTTTCATGCCGATTAGCCTTCAAAGTATACGAAGATCAAACATCAAAACCATCCTGACTTAAGACAACCTTGGCATGTTTTGCATTTTGGAACACTCTCTGAGCCCCACGAGGCCTGGGACCCCACTCAGCCCCACGGGCCCCCAGGGACGGTGTTCCCGCTCCCCACGCTCCTGCCTCGGAGGGACGGCCGTGGGGATGCAGTGCCCGAGGATGGATGGCTGGATGGCTCCTCACCTCCTTCCCGGAGCCAAACCCAGCTCCGAGAGCTGCTCCGAGGGCTCCCCGCTGGGCTCCGGGGCTCTGGGAAAACACTCCCTTTGCAAGAGAATCGCCCGGAAGCGCCGGTGCTTTTCCTTGGCAGGGAAAAACCCGGTCCCTGCGGGCTGGCTCTTGTGCACCGCAGAATAACGAGGCACATTCCTTTCCCCTTTCTCTTCCCCGGCTACCGAGTGCCACAAAACCCGCAAAGTTTGCTTGGTAACTGCCTGTGGGCCTTTCTTCCTCGTCTCCTCTGCCCATACCCAACAAAACACTGCAGGGCCCGGCCCTGGATGTCCTGAGAGCAGGGGGATGAGGGATGACACCTCGCAGGGATGCTGATGGCTCTCCTTTCTCTGGGGAAGATGTAAAGGCGACACTGCCGGGCTTGTTTTCCAGCCCGGCTGTCACGTCATTCCCGAGGCGGTTCGGGTGGAGCGGGGCTATTTTCACACTCCTACCATGCTTTTAAAAATAGCTGGGTTTATTTCAATGCTCCTGGGATCTTCGGCTGTTTAAAGTGATTAGTAAGTCACAATGCAATAAAAGTTGTACCTGCTGATGCACGCTATTGTCATCAGCTTCTTCTCCACGTAATTCCCAGTAAGGCGTGGAAATGTGTGAGGGTTGAGGAGAGGCTGCCTGGGCACAGATCTGGTGAGTTGTATAGTTCCCTGTGTGAAAAATTCCCCAGCTTTTGTTGTCCCACACAGTGATGGTGCTATTGGTACCTTCTCAGCCCTCTTATCCGCCCCCCTTTTCATTCTGGAGGTGTTTCCACAGCCACACATCCTCTGCACCGTCCCTGAGAGGTGGCTTAGCCTGTGTCTGTCACGTAAAAACTCGCATGTGTCCCTATTTAAGTTGATCCTGTTATTTTAGTCTTTTTCTCAAGGTCATCCCAGCTTGGTGCCACCAGCATGTGCCCCTCCTCGTCATCCCAGCTGCTCCAGCTGGGTGTAGAGCAGTGGGCTGCCTCACCTCGGCCACAGGGATAAGTGCTCTGCAAGGATGCGTTTCCCTCTGGGGACGCATCTTCCATTAGCCGCTTCCTCGCAGCTCTGTTTCCTGACCAGCCTCATGAGGACACCAAATGAGGCACTCCCAGGCCCATCACCGCTGGAAGATGGCGAAGTCTTGGGCCAGAACCACAGACTTCTGAGAACTTTAATCAGAGCAGCTCGCCCCTGTATTATTTATGCCGTGGCGGCGCTCTGAGACCCGCTGGAGCCAAGGGAAAGTCACACCAGACATCCGCACAAAGCCGACATCCGCCTGGCAAAGCACCCAGGGATGAGCAGGGAACTGTCTGCTCGTCCACATGATCCGCTGCCTGCCAGGTCAGGCACTCAGTTTGGCTTTGGGCTCACCGTCTACTGGCCCCTGAAACCCGCTAATCCATCTGGAGCCATTCCTGAAGATACAGCAGGAAGTTTTCCCACCAGGATGAGCACCTTGCTCCTTGGGGACACCAGCCCTGCAGCCTCTTGTCCCTCTGGGTGTGGGTGCCTGGGCTCCCACCAGCGCTGCTTCATCCCATCCCTCAGCAGCCACGCTGGGCCAGAGCTCAAGGTTGTCCTGCGGAAGGCTGAGCGGAGGTCGGAGAGGGAGGATGTTCAATTAAAGCTGCTTAAAAAAAGAAATCCAACTTTCCATATGCCTCTCCCGGGGGAATAAAAAAGCCCCAGAGCCGAGCGCAGATGGGGTGCCGGGCGGGGGACTGAGCACAGCCCCCACGGCAGAGGTGACTCCGGCTCAGCTGTTCCCACCGCCCGCGATCCGCAGGGATTGAGGTTGACTTTTGGTGTTCCCTCACGGAGAGATGGACATTTGGCTCGGCAGAAATCCCCAGGCAAGCTCGGACAGTGTCCAGGCCTGTGTCACAGTGTCCTCCAAGCCACTCGCGGCTTCCAGCGCTCCCGCTCATCCCGGGGGTGCCGGTGATGCCAGAGGCGGCTCTACTGGTGCCTGGGTGGGCTCTTCCATGGGGACACCAGGCTGGAACAGTGGCACTGGGGGCCGTGGGAGGGCAAGGAGCCATCCCCCTTCTGCTGGTGGCCCCCACACCGACCCACCCAGCTGGGGAAACCCAAGTGCATCCCCACAGACGAGGAGTCATTCCCTGGCCGGCGCCATCACCGGGAGGAGTTTCCCTGGGGAAAGGACTGGAGGATTCAGCCACGGCGTGGTGGAGGCGTCGGGTGGAGTGGCTGGGAGGTTGGCCCTCGTGCCGCCATGCCACGTGTGCCATCTCCCTCACACAGCCGCCCAGAATAGTGTCACCATCTGGTTCCAGCTGCCCAGGACGTGGGAACCTCCCCGGCCCCTTCTGCGATTACAAGAAGTGAATTCAAACATCAACTCAGCCGGACTCGGGCGGCCTTTATCCCTTTTTTTTTTTCTTCCTTTTTTTTTTTTAATAATTCAGGTTTGTCTCTTAGAGAAGAGAGAGGGAGATAATGTCTGCAGAGCATTTAATCTTCTGCCCAAAGAATAGCAGAGAGCAAATTAGGATCTACTCCAATTAATTTGCCTTGATGGGCAAAATCTGGAGAGCGGCCATATCTGGGAATTAGGAACAAAAGCAGGGAGTGTAAAGTAGGTCACTGGAGTTTCATAACCGGAACGAGGGGTTTCCACGGCACACTGGGTGCTCCAGAGGCTCCTGGTGCCGGGGTCCACCCGTCTCTGTCCCCCTCAGATCCACAGGTTTCAGCCTGGAGAGTTGCTTTAAGATGCTGCCAGTGTGCAGTTGTTTGTTCTGGGAGCAGGAGCAAGGATGTTGTCCCTTCCCACAATGGGACACAGCTGCAGGGCCGTCCCAAACCCTCAGACACAACGGAAAGACAGGCACCAGCACACTGTCACAATTCTGGAGCTTTCTGATGGTCAGCATGCCCACCCTTCCTGTCACGCTGCCACCCTCAGCCCCGCAGGCACCTTCTTGAAGGAGGACCAGGTGTCACGGGTGGCAGTGGGGTTTGGACAGTGCTTGGCCAAGGGCTCTTGCACCGTGGGGCATCACCAAGCAGTGGTGACACACAGGCCCACCCTAGCCTGGCACCCTCAAATCCTAGTCCCAATTCCCCAGACCCATCAGTGCCTGCAGGCACCATGTGGTGACGTATTCTGGTGTCATCTTCCAGCCGCAAGACACGTGTGGAGGCAGTGCCAAGTGGTGACGTGCGCTGGAGCTCAGGACACACGGTGACAAGGCTAAGGGTGTGTGACATGTACGGGGACATCTTCCAGGACAGCGGCTTTGATCCCAGCCTTTGATCCGGGTGGGACGGAAGCGGCACGGTTTGTCGACCGCAGGTGTCCCCGCCGTGGTGACAGCCGGCCAGAGCACCGTGCTGGTGATGCTCCATCTCCCCATCCACCTCCCGCTGCAGGACGCTGGGGATCCCCCGGCAGTGACCCCGCTGCTCCCACCGCTCCCGTCCCCACGGAGGTGCCGGCGGGTGCTGCGCGGTGCGAGGCCGGCGCCCGGCCGGCGTTTATCCTCTTAGCCACCCTGCCGGGATCCGGCACTAATTCACCCTTAAACACAGGATTGTCGGGAACCGGGAAGGGAAGAATGGGCGGATTATCCCCCCGGCGCTGGCGTTAAACACGGGGAGCGGCAGCTGCCGGAGGAGGAGGGACGAGATGGTGTCTTGCCCCATGTAATGGGGTGACAATCCATCGTCCCCCAGCAAGCCCAGATGTTTTGTGTCCCCCTCCAAGTCAACTCCAGGCTGGTAATGAAATAAATAACATGAAATAAATAACATGAAATAAATATGGGGCTGCCCATAACGCTGAGGGATCGACAGCAACTGCCCAGCTCTGTGGGATGCACCACAGCACAACAACCCCAGCAGTGTTTCCTGGCCCCAGAGGCTGGCAGGGGACTGGGACAGCCAGGGTGACATCCCAGAGGTCAGGGATCACACGTGACCAGACCTCGCAGGAAGAGGTTTTATGATGAACCAAACAAACAATAATTTTCCCTGGCTCGACAAAGACAGCAGTAACAGCTTCTCACTCACACGCTGATGGCTTTCAGCCACGGGCCAGCGGGAAAACGCTTCCCTGGGCCAGAATCGTGTGCCCAGCTGCTGGAATGTGTTTGGGACAGCCTGGAGGTCACCCCAGCAATCACAGAACTGGCAACAACTCGCTACTCACGGCACGCAGGAGCTCCTCATCACTCCTGCTCGTGGCTGAGCCTGGCACAATCCATGGCATGGTGGTACTTGTGCTGGCCAGAGGATTGTGCTGCCTTTCCCAAGCAGGATCTTTTCCCATGTGCCCACCAGATCTACCCACCACCACTGCCAGGAGCTGGGATCTGCACCAGTGAGGAGCCCGGGATCTGTGCAGGAGCTGGGGTGGCCCATCTGCAATTTCAGTGGCCCTTTGGGTAGCTGTGGGGGGAGTGGTGATGGATGTGTCCTGGAGAGTGGGGAGGCCCCTCACCAGCCCAGGCTTGGGGGAGCGGGTTTGCACAAAGGGTTTCAGTAGCTGGGGAAAAAAAATAATCTTAACTTTTCAGCATTAACAGGGATGGGAATTACAGTGTCTTCCACCGACAGGCACACAAGTTTAACCAAGTTAAACTCCCACACGTCATCTTGCTTCAACTTCAGCAAGTCCCACTTGGACCTGGATGAAAGCTTCAGTTCTGTGTTTTTTCACTTCTATCACTTCAGCTAAAAAAAAAAAACAAAACCCTCTCTTCCCTGCAAACCCCAGTTTTCTTCATGACCATGAATACAAAAGGACTGAAATAAAAGGATTGGAAAATAGGATTCCTCACAGAAAATGTCGCTGGAGTTGCCCATCACAGGACAAGTTATCAGCTGCAAAAAAGACAAAAAGAGAAATACACACCCTGTGCTTTCCTAAGGTGACCTTTCAAATGAAGAAACCATTTGACCCACCCCTAAAGGGAATATCTGCCGTGCCCAGCCCTGAAAGCAGCTGTCAGGGAACACCAGGTCAATGGGAATCCCCAGGACAGCCCTCCTGGGGCTCCTGAGAACAGAACCACTGACCCTCCCTGCTGGTCCTGCTTGGGGACTGATCCAGGGAGCATCTCCTCTCCAATCCCCGGAGCTTGGGAAGGGTGTGAGGGGCATCCCAGAGAGACAGGAGAAATGTAAAAGTGTCTTTTAATATAAATATAAATCCATCTGAAGTGCTGCAGGAGAGGACCGTGCCCCAGGAGGGAGGTGGGCTCGGCGGGGACCCATTCCTGGTCAGAACCAGAGGGACCGACCCGTGGTGTCCCCCAGGCAGGCAGGGCTAGGGCCGGGCCAGCAGCAGCGGCAGGGCCAGCAGGGCCAGGAGACGGGGCTGCAGGGGGGTGGCCGAGCCCCGCAGCGTGGCCTGGTTGGTCTCAGCGGCCGGCGAGCCCTGGGCGCTGGCCAGGCGGCCCCGGGCGCTGCACAGCTCCTGCAGGTTCCCCTGGAACTGGATCTTGCGGGACTCCTGGCGCAGCGACTCCCAGATGGCCGACGCCTCCACGGGGCACTTGGACAGCACCTCGCTGGCGCACGTGTGGAAGTCATCCCAGGACCTGGGGAGGAGGGCAGGAGTGTAGGGGGGGAAGGAGGATGCTGGTGGCAGGTCACTGGGCCGTCCCAGCGGCTCCCACAGGGACAGGGACACTCACTTGCAGATGGTGTCCAGCTCCTGCGCCTCCTCGCCGCCCTCCTCCTGCTGCTGCCGGACGCTCTGGGCCATGCTGTCCCCCAGGCTGATGAGGCAGCCGGCGAAGCCCTTGTAGATGGTGTCGCACTGCCCGGCCATGCTCACGGGCTCCTGGCTCGCGGCTGGGGGGGCACAGAGAGGAGAGACGGAGCTGAGCACCCCCTGGAACCCCCCCGACAGCATCGCCTGCCCGGCTCGGGGGTGCCTGGGGTGAGAGTGGCACGGGGTGGGGGTGACACCGGGGCTCTCAAAGGTGGTGAGGGGCTTCTGCGTTCCCCTGGAACCCCCCCGGACCCCCAGAACCTTCGCTCCCAGCCCGGGACCCGGCGCAGCACAATGTGGCGACCCCACAGCAATGCTGCCATCAGCCCACGGGGCTCCTGCCGGCCGTGTCGCCTCGGGCCTCCCCGGCTCTCCCCAGAGCCATCTGTCCCGGCCTTTATCCCCTGACAGCAAAGATTAATTTGTGACTACAACAGAAAAAAAAAAAAAAAAAAAAAAAAAAAAAAAAGAAATCCAAACAAAGCAAAGGCTCAGCAAGCTGGAGTCCCTGCTCTGACTGCAGCGGGAGAGAGGGAAGGGAGAATGGAAGGGGAAAGGGGAAAAGGGAGGGAAGAGGAAGGGGAAAGGGGAATGGAAATGGGAAGGGGAAAAGGAGAAAGAGGAAAGAGGGAAGGGAAAGGGGGAAGAGAAAGGGGAAGGAAAACCACAAAAGGAAGAGGCACAAGTGCAACTCTGGCTGCTTCTTTCTAAGAAGCCTCAATTCCCTGCTCTGCTCCACAAAGGATTCACCACTGGCCGTGGGATGACGGCTGACAGGCTGTATTGGCGAGGACTGTGAGTGCATCCATGGCCGGGGGAAGCCCCAAAAGAGCTGGTGCATGGCTGGGTCACCAAAAACGTGGCTGGGTCACAGGGAAACCCTGCATGGTCCCCAGCTCTGCCCTGGGGGTCCCACGGGGCCAGACAGATGTGGGTTCCCTGGGCCACTTCATGGGAGCTGTGAGAGTTTTGGAGGTGCCATGGGTGTGTGCCAGGGAGGTCTCCAGCTGAGGACAGTCCTGCTGGAAGTGTGGTCCCAGTCCTGGGACCCCTGAGGGAAGGTGAGCCCAGAAGGAGCTGAAAGTTGCCCGGTGGCTGCTGAGGCAGCCAGGATGACTCCAGGGAGCCGTGTGCCTTGCCGCTGGCATCCCGTGCCTGCTCCCCTGGAACCAGGTCCTGAGCAAAGCACCTGTGGCCGAGATAACCAAGCCTGGCAGCCCATCACGGGGCACAGCACGTGTTTGAGATGAGAGCCCTCGAGCACATCACCGAGGACGGTCTCTGATGGCAGACACGTGGGGCACCAACATAGCAGGTATCAATAAAGTGGGACCCTTTGCTCCTCTTTTGACCCAGCCAAGCACTTCTCCCACCAGCCCAGAGACACAGCAGATGCCCACCCTCAGCCGGCTGGTCCCTGCTGCCGGCTGAGGTTTGACCTCCTGGGCTCCTCTAATTCCCGGCACGAACCCTTCCCTCCGCCCCGCTCCTTCGGCGCAAGGCTGAGCAGGGCAGGCAAGGAAGGAGAAACCAGGAGGGTAAATCATCTCCACTAGCCATCTGCAAAACCATGGGGAAAAAACCTGCCCCCGGCTCCGCCAGGGAGAAAAACCCCAGGGAAACGCACGGAGGAAGTTTCCCAGGGCGCTGCAGAGCATCGCTTGCTCCCAAGCGAGTACCGACGCGGCCATCCTGCTCCCGGGGAAGGATCGGAATCACCCACCCTTGGAGCCTGAAATCCTCCCGAAGCTTGTGGTCCCTGTCCTCCACCCTCCGTGCGGTCGGACCAGCTTAACCCCAGTCCTCCATCCCTCTTCAGGGCAGGGATGTCACTGGTAGCTGCTTTGTCCCGCGTCCTCCCTCGGCTCACGGAGGAGAAGGAGAACGTGGAGGGGATGCGCTGGTGCCGGTGAGGGTGCGGGAGGGCAGCAGGGAAAGCCGGCAGGAACGTGGGCTGAGCGCAGGGGGCTGGTTGGGAACTGGGGAACGGGGGAGCAAGAGGGGCCCCGGACAGCGCTGCAAAGCCGCGTCGGAGCATCGCAGGGCACGGGACAAGAGTGGATGGAGCTCTGAGCCGCGGGACAAGCGGGCACCCCGCTCCCCGCAGCTACAGAGGATGCGAGAGGCGGCCGGGGGTCCCGCTCCCACCCGCCCCAGCCCCGGCGGTGTCCGCCCCGCAGCCCGGCCCCGCGGCACTCACCGAGGTGCAGGAGCAGCGGGCACAGCACGCCGAGCAGCCGCCAGCAGCCGCCGCCCATGGTGCGGACCCCGCGCCGCCGCCGCCGAGTGCTCCGAGCCCGCAGCCCCGGCCCCGCCGCCCGCCCCCGGCACCGCCCCGGGACCAGCCCCGGGATCAGCCCCCGGCACCGGCTGGGCCCGCCCTGCCCGCCCCGCCGAGGGGCGGAGGAGCCCCCGGGGCTGGACTCCTCTCCTTGCAGTCCATCGCGGAACGGTTGGGGTCGGAATGGACCTTAAAGACCATCTCGTTCCAACCTCCTTCCACTAGACCGGGTCGCTCCAAGCCACAACCTGGCTCTGAACGCTGCCAGGGATGGGGCAGCTTCTCTGGGCAACCTGTGACAGTACCTCACCACTCTCACAGGGGAGGATTTCTTCCTAATGTCCAATCTAACCCTGCCCTCTGTCAGTTTGGAGCCATTCCCCCTTGTTCTGTCACCCCATGCCCTTCTCCAAGGTCCCTCTCCAGCTCTCTTGGAGCTCCTTTAGGTAGTGGAAGGTGCTGTAAGGTCTCCCCAGAGCCTTTTCTTCTCTTTTCCAGGAGGGAGGAGCAGCAGGAGATATTTTCACTGTGAAAAGGGGAATTAGTGTCCCCTTCCCACAGCTGGCAGCCCACCACCACTTCCTAGCTCTCCCAGGAAGCAGAGATGGCTGGGACCGGCTGGACTCACATGGGAAAGCTTGAACAGAGACTCAGGAGAAAATCTGGGAAGAGAGAGGGCATCCTGGCCTCAGGCTTGAGCCTGGAGATGGTTTGATATCCTCAAAGGCCATGCAGCTTCCCCTCCATCACACAGCAGATCTCCACATTTATTTTTTTTTTCTCAAAAAGTTTTTTATTGAATTGTTCTTAATGTTATTTCAAAAAAAAAAAAAAAAGAAAAACAAAACAAAAAACTCAAACAAACAAAAAAACCCCAAACAACAAAAAAACCTTCAAAATTTAGATAAAAAGAAAAACCTTGGCGTAAGAACCAAAACTAATGCCTGAAACATGGACATGCTCCGATGCACAACAGAACCAGCTCGCTGCTGCCTGAGCACCCCAACCCAGAGCCTCTCCTTGGGGCGCTCCAGAGGCAGCACCCCTTGCCCAGCTGTGTCAGGTGGTCCAGACCCCACCCCGCTGTGGATCTGGAGTTATCAGCCTTCGGAGTAACTACGGGACTATCTACCATCCTGAACTAACCGCTCTGCTGAGCCTGCGCCTCCCCCCGCGGGGAGGAGGGGGTTGAGCCCTTCACTGAGGTGTGGGCACAGGTTTGTGCTCAGCCAGGAGCTCAGGGCTCAGCGCACACCTCCCTCCTCCTCCGCTGACGGCAGCAGACTCCAAACCTTTAGAGGGGTAAGAAATCCATCGGCTCCCGCTGCGCGCGGCTTGCACTGCCCAGCCGGGCCTCGGGGACGGACGGGCGGGCGAACGAGAGATTTAACTCTCTCAGAAAGAGGCTATTTAGGAAAAAGAAGCCAAGTGAACGTTCAGTGACTATCTGGAACTATACACAGATGGCGTTTTTGCCTTAGAGACATCACACGTGTGTCAATAGGTTTCCTGGCAAGAGCTCTCTTAACGCGAGCCAGACGTCGGTTTGTAACTACTGATCTGCTCGGTGGGCTCGGGTGGGGCAGCCCACGGGGCAGCCAGGTCCTCCTAGGTCATGCTGGGGGTGACCAGGCCCTGGAGCATGATCATGAGGCGACGTGCAGACTTGTTCAGAGGGTTGTGAGGTTCCACCTGGACGAACTGGAAGAGCTTCTGCCGCACCTGGTTCATGACTGACCCCATGTGGTCTCGGGTGATGGGGTCACTTTGGTCCAGGTGCATCACTGCGTCCTCCAAGTAACTGAAGGAGAGAGAGCAAGGTTAGAACCAAACCCAACGAGCGATCCCAACCCTACTCGGTTCATTTTAGCATTGAAGATGCACAGTTCTGCTCCCCACCCACCCAAACTCTGCAGTATGTTCAACAGTCAGGAAATAAATTTTGCTGACTCACAGAAGAGTCCACCTATCCCTTCCTTGGCATTTAAGGGCAGCCTACAGCTCCCAGCCTGCCCCACAACCTGGTGCTGGAGGTGGCTCTCAGTAGATGTTTTCTTTGATGCCTTTATAGTGTGTGCAGAATTAGTCACTCATTAGACAGTAACACCCTTCAGCAGTGAGGCTCAGTCTGTGTAGGGTTATATTTAAGGTCTATCCCAGAAGAAGTGGGGGAAGAGCAAGACTTTTACCAATAAGTCTCTCTGAAGTTCAGAGCCATCAGCTTTCAAACCACAGCCTGAGTAAGGCAACGTGGTCACTGCAGAAGGTTTCCACTAACAGACCAGTTTAAACTTCACAGCAGCAGCTTTAGCCTCAGTTACCAGCTTGACTGCAACTTGAAGCTCTTTTCAGTTTTTCTAGCTCGCTTTATCCCTGTCAAATCAGGTTTTTAACTCAAGTTAACTCCTTTTTCCACACAAGCCACGCCAAAACCCGTAGGAACCTCAAGAAATTAGTTTTTCAGGGCACATAACAGGGTTTTGACTCACTCACTAAAAATGCTCATGGCAAGTATCAGCACAGTCACTATTTTGTCACACAAGCTTTGCTTGGAACATCTACCAGACACTATTCGAGCAGCTCCTGCTGCCACCTCCCACTGAGCCTTTCTGGGAGTCACGACGAGAAACTGCCAACACAAAGTCCAGGGACAGGTTAAGAACTGAGGACAGAGGAAAGTTGCTCTGGATACTCTGCTATCCAGGGAACAGGGCACTATCCCTATTTTTGCCTCCCCAGAGGAATTGTTCCTCAGGGAAAGGGGATCACTGCACAGACTGCAAATATTTACAGGCTACGATCCCAGAGGTAGCAGCACTTACAGCTGGGTACTCCCTGCGCTGCTCCCTCTGGGCAGCAAAGCTTTCCGTGGCAATGCTGGCACGTTTTTCCAAGTTCCTGGTTGTAAACATGCCAGGAACAGGCTACAGAAGCTCCAACTTTTGTTGAAGCACCACCTTTCCCTTCCAGGCAGTGAATTTAGAGCCGGTGCCAGGAACAGAACCCGATGCTCTGATCATACTCACTTCAACTTCAGCTCTGTGCGAGTGCCCAAATCCGAGGAGAGCTGCTGGATGAGGGAGAGCAGCACAGGCTGGGACAGAGGGCACGGATGCTGCCCAAATACTTGCTGAGTATCCACAGT